GACAACACAATCTGAAAAGTAAGTCAGAAAGAAGGAAATGAGAAGTGCCCACACAGTCCTGCTCTGGGTGACTAACCAGCTTTGGCCCACCGACTGACTTGAACAGAGGCAAAAGAACAAGTTCCAACTTGGAGCTTGACATTGATGCTTGAGTCAGAGGGAGATGGCAGACAAATATTGATGCTTAGTTGTCCATGTATCTCAGGGACTGAACAGTGAGTAGAGAAGCTGCAGATCATGGCAGAACAAGTTAACATCTGGTACACCAAGTGTCCCTGCTTGCTATGACAAATGGTCCTGACAGAAAATGCTCAGCTAGGCAGTTGAGTCCTAACCAAATACATTGATCCATCACTCCCTGTAAAGTGTTTCATAAATAGGCAACTTTGCCAAACGTCCTTCTTCCAACCAAACAGAAGCAGCTCTCCCTCTGTAATCAAAATGTGGAATATCAGTTTCCCCAAGCTAGATGAAATCTGAGATAATATTAAAATCACTGGGATGGGTGATGTCTCTATGGAATACAGTGTATGGAGACCTTCATGCTTTTGAAGGCAATGGTGCCCAAAATGGCCAACTAAGACAGCAGGCATGCCTATCAGCCAGACAACACAAGAGAGATCCCAAGGAAGCTAAGAGAAACACTCCAGAAACTTAGAAATTTGGTCATTATGACAGTTTGGAACAGGTAGAGTAATTCTGAAGAATTAAAAGAGAAAGAATCTCCATTGCAAGGTGCATAATCTGTGATTATACAATTCATGTAAAATAGCAGATGCTGCTGCTCGTACGCCTGCAGAGGAAACCTCTTCCATACTGGCAGTTAAAAACAGGACCACAGTCCTTTTAGTCACTGATCCTCAGTTTATAATTGGTATACACATGTGTGTATGCCAAAACTACTGATATTTTTTAACACTTATTCTTGTATTTTAAGTTTTACTTTTCTGCATTTACGACAAAACAAAAGTGATTTTGTCACCCAAGCAAATGTTACAATATTTGTCAAAAGTGGCTTTGCTAGGACATTTATTGGAGTAACTAGACTGCAATGTAAACGGACAACACCTAAGAACAGCCCTCCACCTCCGCCCAAAAGATCACGAGACTACTGCTCATGGCTAAAACTTGAATCTCAGATATTCTTTGTGAAGACTGCCATCTCAGTTTCTGTATTCCTTAAGTCTGAGCAGCAAAAGTACACTACCAACACAATCAGCGCTTTCCAAGTGGAAGTACTCACCAGTAATGAATGGGGTAATTTGCCAGGACTACTTCTCATGGCTACATCAGAAGCACGGAGAGTAACTCAAGAGAACATCCCTGCTGTAAATTTGTTTTCAGTCATAAGCGATTTTGATTCTTTCAGTTGCTGCATTAGCAGTCTGTCCCTCAAGACTGACAACCTATCCCCAGAGGAAGAAATGGTATTTCAAGAACAAGGCCTGGCAATTCACGTAGGAATTGGCAGATGAAACAGACATCACAACAGATAGGGATGTTAAAATGCTGCTTCTCTGGATCCCCTCCCCATGGCTCTTCACAACCTTTTTCTCACACTTGAAAGGAATCAAACACTGAAAATCCCAGGGCCTTACAGAATTACTCACTAACCTTCGGCCAAATCAGATACTGTCTATTCCAAATAGGATAGCAAAATACATAAAGTTACTGCGGCAACCCAGTGAAGCACTTGATTAGTAGGCTCCAAAATCTACACTCTATCAACCTGCAAAAGATACCAAGCAACTAATTCTAAATTAACCCACCCTGAGAGAGACAGAAAACCAAAGACAACTGCCCTGTTAGCTAGCAGTCTGATCATCCCTGGGGCAGTCCTTTTCCGCCATCACCTTGACCTGAAAAGATGACTTGTTTCTCAGAGAAGAAAAATCAAGACACCATACAGCCAAAAATTTCCTGAAGCAGCAGTTCAAGATATTTGAAGAACAGCACCAGGATTCTTAGTAATTGGGAGGACTTTGCTCACCTAATCCCTAATTGTGTCTAAAGTTTGAGATTTTGGCCGCATAGCCTGGGCAATGCTACCTGTCTACGGGAGATGTTCTACACTCCAGGAAGAACAGAGTCAGGCTGATTTGCCCTGTGAATAGCTCGGGGGCTACAGGTCAGGTACGTTCCTGTGAGGCAGAGTTTCAGTACCTAAATGCAAAGCGTAAAGTGCAATGAGCCAGAGGTTTCAGCTCTCAGAACAACTGTAAGGGGGACTCTGGTTTTACAAGTTATGAAGAACAGAACATGGGTTAGCTGTACGTCCACTTGCAAAGCAGCTGAAGTGCTGGATCTATCCTTTGCAAAAGAGAACGGTAGAGCAATTCTGAGCTTCTTGGTTAGGTTTGGAAATGACTGTATACCTAAAGCCCCAGCAATCTTCCCCTCTCTCTGCATCAAGGCTGCCGAAGACTGTTCAATGACAGGAATCCACTCTAGAGGCTTTTCTGTGCTGACACACAGTCTTGCAACGTCAGAGAAAAGCAGCAGCTGAAAAACAGCTGCAGACACCCAACCACTTCTACATTTGGGCTTTGACTGCCTGAAAATAAACACTGCTAATCAAAAAAGAACTTGAGACTAATACAGACCCAGTATTTATCGCATATGGGCAGCCTCCACAAATGTCACATTCTACAAAACATTCCAGTCAGTGGATTACATGAAATTAAGAACAACAAACAAAAAGATCCTGAAATACTTCAAATTAGTGGAAGAACACACAGAATGTAAAAGGTACCTATTTCAACATCATCTTCAGCTTCAGCTTTAAATATGTACACTTTGATAACTTCTGAACCAAACCCGTCATCTTTAGCAACATCATCATTTGTCACCTCAGTACTGATTTTCAAGGGAGTGCTTCCTATATGGTCCAATTTTTCTCCAACATCATCCACTGTAAAGATAAGAGAATAATAATGAGGTTCAAACACATCTTTTAAAAGCCAAAGTAATCAGTAGCATGATTTTCTCCACTATTATCCCCATGCATAGTAAAGGTCTGTATTCATAAATGGCCTTTACAAAACAATTCATATCAAGACACTTAAAAGAGATTCCGAAAGTTCACACTCATTTTATTGCAACTCAGGAAACACAGCAAAAATTACAGAATGAAGAACACAAGAGGGAGCTTGTCATCAACAAGAATGTGGTAACCGGTTATGTCTGAGATTATTTCACTGAGAAAGCAAAAATGTATCAATAAGTAAAATTTAACATCTACCCAAAAATGTTAAAAATTAACCTGAATTGCCTGTTACAGTCTAAGAGTCCCACAAAGTTTCACTACTCTAAGATACTGGTGACTAAAATTAAGCAGCTGAAGCTCATATGAAAAGTGATGACTCAGAGTATATTGCCAGTGAAAGAAGTGTGCACCAAAAATTTGGCTACATCTTCACCCTAAAAGAAATTATGATTTTATCCACTTTATCACTGGAAAACATAAATTAATGAAGATTACTGTATAATATACAGCTGATTAAAAGATGCAGCGATAACAAATCCCAGTATTACTATGTGAAACTGACTTCTCATTCTTTATGTAACTTAGTCACTCTGATTATTTGGTCTACATATCCAAAATGCTAATTTTATTTATATGACAAAAATTACACTCAAACTATTAAAAGTGTAGAAGTAACACTATTTTGGTGAAAAGGGTATTCACGCAGATATCCATATATACAGACCCCAATATGGAGGCCACTGAACTAAGCATCTTTCTGACATATGTATTGCCAACACACTTCTCTCAGTGGATAAAATTAGCTCCTGTGCAGACGGCCCACACAAACCTGTGCAACACTTAACACCCACTGAAGTCCTCTATTTAGAGAAGAATTCCACAAAATGTAAACAAAATCTGAAATAAACACAGCCCAGGGAAACAGCAATTTACTGCATACATAACATTAAAATATGTGCATACTAGGTAAAAAAAAAAAAATCATTAAAATGAATATTAAAGAGACAGGATGTTTCATGACTAAGAACAGAGTCTACTCAACGCAGCCACTGAGGGCTTGGACTCCTGCCGGAAGGATGGCTTATCTCAGGGCGGCTGCAATGGTTCCCCAACCCCATCTAAGTTTCCTGCCCTCAGTGCAGAGATGATGGCTCTTGAAGAGCTGCTTTTAACTACTTCAGGCTGCAGCCTGGTGTATTAAGGTGTTTAAGCTTTTCTTAATACTCCGGGCAGTGACACGAGGTGGTTCAGAACCCGCTGGAAAAGGAGCAGACGCCCTTCCTGCAGCAGGGGGTGAATCCACCACAGCAATCCCAAACTAAGCTCTTCCCACTCACAGACAGGATTTCACAGAAAGTCCTATCCAACTAACGCTGTTTTTCACCCCCACATTGAGGAGCCTTATTTCTATTTCAAAAATGTTGGACTGCATTGGAAGAGTACAGAAGTTATCAAGGACAGCACCAGATATAGTGTAGGTAGGAATAATTAAGTGTATTTTAGAACCTCTGAAAATTTTACATTTTGATGAAAACTAAACGGAAAACATTTAAAAAATGCTATGTTTTAGCTGTTTCTTTTTGTAAGTAAGAGATTAATCGCATTGCTGAAAAAATATCAAACATGGATCAGTAGAAAATAATACAAATTTCCTCAGGAAAAGAATTATGTTAAATAAAAAACATTCTACATCTCCATTAAAATCGATGCCAGCAACATCAACACCTTAATCTGTTCGAATCTGACATGAACTGCATGGCGGTCGTGTCATCTCACCGAACAACGAGAAGAGTAATACTGTGAACACCACAGGTGAGAAAGCCACCACAGAGAGGCTGGCACATTCCTCTGGCATGCCAGTCTAGGTTATTAGTACATCTTTATATCCTGTATGGGAGCGTTACCGCATCTGCTAACCGGAATTTTTTATGTTGCCAGAATGGAGTTATTAGAAGAGAGGATTATGCATCCTCCACTACCAAGAAAGGGAAGATGCTAAAAGAAACTTATAATGGAAAAAAGTATTTCCATACATTATGAAGTTTCTTATCCATATTCTTCAAAATGATACACATACGTCTAACTTTAGTACAATGAACATTTCCACTGCATGTACGAGTCTTTCAAGAACTGGAGGTAACTGCTAGTACAAGGCAGGAGTGGTGACACATATAGCTGTATGACTAGACATGCTGTCAAAACACAGAAAGACTATTTAAAGGCTGGGTGGAAGAAATCACCCATTGTGAGCTGTTACTGTCATTTTAGAATTGGTAGGTGGTAGTCAAGTTATTTTCAAATCTGCAACTCAAGCAACACCAACTTTTCCTAACCTCTTAAATTTTATAAACAACACACTATCAGGTTAACACAGGAAGTAACTATTTCTGTACTGGAAGGTTATTTAGCAATAGTAACGTCCTACTGAACAGTGCAGTAATGCCATATATGTGACAAGAAGTTTTCTTTATGGCAAAAATTTCCAACTATTTAACCAATATTGGGTGACAATGACCGTATACCACTGTATCTGGTGAAAAAACACAAGAAAAAAACCCACACAATTTTAGACAGTCACCTTACCAGGACATCAACTGCAATACAACAAAGATTACATAAAGAAAAAAAAAAGAGGAATTTTTCAGTTTTACAACTTTTATAATAAATTTTTCAGCCAAAGATACAAAGTAAAATACAAGAATACAGTGTGCACACTCACATGCTGTGTTCTACCATTTCAAGTAAAGCTCCCAAACCTTCAATATCCTTCAAAAAACAGGGAGTCCTGTCTTAGAGGGGCAAACTTACAATATTATTTTTAAAATTAGCGGTTACTCCCACATCATCAACTGTCCTGTGTATTCTCAAAGATCTTCAGTCTCTACTAAGCTACAGTAATAGAAACATAGTAGGAAGCCTGTGTACCCAGGGCCTCTGGAATCACTTTTCTAGAAAAGCAGAAGTGTAATATAACAAAATTTGAAAACATATAAACCGGACTGAGAAAATGATACTGATATAAACTGTCATTTGTGAGACACCGCCTTTTGTTTCAAATACCTCAACAAAAGACACTGAGTCGGCAATTGCTATTGTTTAAATTGCTGTCATATGAAGTAAATTTCATGGTTTCAATCTGGTTTTTAAACACATTTAGACAAGGGGAAAACAATCTACACAGCAGGACACTTAACCTTTGTCAATTTCCAAATAATTAGGACTTTTTATAAAAACAGATGGTGAAAATATTCTATTGTCTAAGTAATACGACTTCAATCACAGACTGTTAACCCATCAGTGCCAAATTATCTGGTGACTTTTCCCAGTGACAGTTCTCAGGAACAGGAATGCTTACTTTATGTCAATGGAATACGAAAAGTGTCTTCCAGATCTGACTCATCCACCAGAAGCACTACATATTATTATCTCGTCACTTAAAATTAACTGAAAAAACACAACAGAGAACCTTTATAAATATAAGCTGAATCCTCCTGAATAAACAAGGTTTAAAGGAAAACTCAGCACACTTCCAATCTCAAACTTACCTTACTTCGCTGTTTTCAGGTGTGTGATGTCCAGATTCACCGTGGATTGCCAGCTCCCAATTCATGTGATGCCTCAGCATGCACTACGCTGGTGATACCACACCCACCACAGGAGCCCATAGGGACAACATGAGGGCAAGATAAGTCCCGTGGTTTTACAATTGCTCATATTTTTCTAATGTCTCTAATACTTCTTTTATATCCCATAGGTTACAATATAGGAGTATTAATATTAAAATGTTTAGCAAATTATGTAACACTGTATCGTCATACACTAAAAAGGAGGTGGTGGTGGAACAGTACCTTACCCCTAAAGGCCAGCTCCAGTGTTGTTCTTTGGTGGGTGTGAGGTCACCAACATAGTGCATGCAGGGCCAACGCACGGATCGGGAGCTGGCAATCCGCTGTGGGTCTGAATATCGCAAACCTGAAAAACAAAAAAGGGTACGCTTTAAGCTACACGTGTGCCAACTCCTCCCTGGCAAAACGGGATGTACTGTTCAGAATTTTCCCGTCTCAGTATGAAATGGACTGGGTTCTTGACAACACCATATGCATTCAGTTTGTATTAATTTCCTTTTTAACAAGTCCCTTTCAAACAGGTGTTCTGGAGATTTAAAACAAGGGATCATGGATATCCTGTGGCACAGGTTGTGAACGTATCAAAAAAAGATTTTTAAGTTTTAAGCTCATAAGGCTGATTTAAAAAAGCTAAATTCATCTGCAACGAGACAGCAGAGAGGTGATAATCTAGTAAAAATTTCCAATTACAAAATCATACACAGCTAGTTTACAAAACTATAGAGATAAACTTACTATTTTCCAAATAGTATTTACATAAAAATATCATTACCAATAGTGTATAAAATATCTAGATGGGAATGTTGTCTTAAAACGGTGTATATACAGTATATTTAAACTGTAACTCCCAACAAACAAGTAAGACAAAATTCCACACTCAATCCAGCTTCACACCCTAAAATGCACTATTTTAGAAGTTCCCAAAATGTGTCCCACAGACAGCTAAGGGCATTATCTGTCATTTTATGTAAAGTTCCCCACTTTTTAGATGCTAAATTTCATTAAAAGACAGCTAAGTATTTTGAGATTCTTTAAAAATATCATTTTGTTGTGATTTACATTATAAAAAAGTTCAACACTCCTATATATACACCCCAAAAGAAATGGCATAAAATTAACTTTCTACAATATTTACTGAGCATTTGACAATTAAAAAATACAAGTAAACAAAGTTTTAAACTGCATGATAAACTGAGACATTTATCTATTCTACACAACAGATTACCTTCACAAACATAACAAATCCAAGGTTAATTTAAAAACATTTTAAAAAAAACCCACCAAAATTAACAACTGCGTAAGACTGATTAATTTTTGATGAGAAAAAAATCAAAATCAGATACTTTGTTGGGCCAAGCTGGCATACACAGCACAACACAGGCTTCAACCTTAGCAGAGGCAGGAGACCTCATGTTTATCTATGATCTGGCCAATGGGGTCGAGTGCACCCTCAGCGAGTCTGTGGACAGCACCAAGTTCAGTGGGAGTGTTGATCTGCCCGAGGGAAGGAAGGCTCTGCAGAGGGATCTGGACAGGCTGGACCGATGGGCCGAGGTTTAACAAGGCCAAGTGCGGGGTGCTGGTGGTCAGCAGCCGGCTGAACGTGAGCCGGCAGTGTGCCCAGGTGGCCACGAAGGCCAGCAGCATCCTGGCCTGTATCAGAAATAGTGTGACCAGCAGGAGTAGGAGAGTGATTGTCCCCCTATACTCGGCACTGGTGAGGCTGCACCTCGAATACCGTGTGCAGTTTTGGGCCCCTCACTGCAGGAAGGACACTGAGGTGCTGGAGCGTGTCCAGAGAAGGGCAACGAAGCTGGTGAAGGGTCTGGAGAACAGGTCTTGTGAGGAGCGGCTGAGGGAACTGGGGTTGTTTAGTCTGGAGAAGTGGAGGCTAAGGGGAGACCTTATCGCTCTCTACAGCTACCTGAAAGGAGGTCGTAGTGAGGTGGGGGTTGGTCTCTTTTCCCAAGTAACAAGTGATAGGACAAGACGAAATGGCCTCAAGTTGCGCCAGGGGAGGTTTAGATTGGACATTAGGAAAGATTACTTTACCGAAAGGGTTGTCAAGCATTGGAACAGGCTGCCCAGGGCAGTGGTGGAGTCACCATCCCTGGAGGTATTTAAAAGATGTGTGGATGTGGCGCTTAGGGACCCAGTTTAGTGGTGGACTTGGCAGTGCTGGGTTAACGGTTGGGCTGGACGATTTTAAAGGTCTTTTCCAACCTAAATGATCGTATGATTCTATGACTGCCTTAATTTATCTAAAATTACTACTTAAAACAAAATTCTAGATTAATAATGTAGTTTCCAACTGTGATTATTCAGGCACACAATGATTATACATATATATAAACCTTAATTTGCTGAAAACTGTCTCAAACTGGCTTCAAAACATTGCAAAAGCCATTGTAGGCTTGAGAATACCTGACAAAACTATAAATGTATCACACAGGTGGGGTCACCAGGTAACTGTTACTGAAAGTTTAAGATGCTCTGGTTTAAGTGCAGGGATCATCATTATCAATCACACTTATCTATCTTAGAAGGAATTCCAAAGATGACTTTACTTACAATTACAAAGGTGCAGTTGGAAATACCGCAGTTACAGAATACAACTCATCGTAAGTACTCTGTCAGAAAGGAGGAATTTTTTCAATGAAACAACTGGCTGTAAAAATGGTGTTCCTTTATTTACAAACATTTGCTTTTAGACTGAGGCTCTTACGGTTCTTTTTCCAAAAAAACCCTTTTTGACTTCCTATTAGTGACATATGGCATTACAGTAGTGATAGAATGATATAAAAAATCATTGCTGTCCATCCTATACTGAACAAAAAATAAATACCAAAAATATATTTTGCATAAGGGACATAAATGCTATGAAATATTGAAATCATTATAATCACTAATCACTCATGTCCCCTCTGTCTTGAAATCTTTAATAAATGCAGCTTGCTGTAAACAGTGACACTTTGACACACTTGGCAATGCCATTTTTTTTAACATATTGCTTCTGACTAAATAAAATCTGTTTTGACCTACTCACATTTCAACTTGGAAAAGTGAAAAATCTAGCATGAACTACCATGCATTTTTACCACATTTGTGTAACAATAAGAACTTGTATCTTGAATATAATTTAACCACTGAAGAAACACAATATACCTAAGGTCCTCTGAGTAGCTCTCACTCAACAAGTAGTATAGGACCACACAGTTTCCTCAGAGTTGAATGCCGTGTGGAAACTGGAACGGGCACCACTTCCCAGTGTAGAGAGACAATCAACTAATGCACACAACCCCTTACTGTGAAGTTCAGTCCAGAAGAGCACAATATACAATAAAATGCCTATTATAATTTTTAATACAGCTAACCAAACAATAGTTTGTGGACATGTAAGAGAAAACTTTACGAGTCAGATATCTTAAAACCCTATTTCTCTGTTGGATACTACTGATTAAACCTGACCCATTATTTTTACACAATCTACATTAACATCGTAATGTACCTGGTATTTTTTTAAAAAAATATTATACTCAAAAAATGTGGAAAGTTTAACCTTCTGATGTGGTTTTTTTTCAGTCTTCAGGAATATCTAGTTTCAGAAACACAAACATACACACTCATTCACTCAACAGCATGAATGTCATTCTCTTTCTTGCTGCATCAGCAAGAATGGATTTTTCATGGAGAAAACCCACATCTAGACACCAACAATTAACTGTGCAACAGACTATTATTTGAGAGTTCCAGCACAGAACACAGCAAGAGTCCAGTTACAGTAATTTCTCCCCACCAGACCACTTCTACTTCAGATAATCTCCTGGTTTTATCTACCTTTGTTTAACTTACAAGATATCATTAAGTAGTCTTCAGATGTACTCTTGCCATCATCATCGTCTTCTGTTTTTATAGTCACTGTGGAGCCAGGAACAGTACCAGCTGCTTGAATGACTGCCTCAGAATCTGAGTTCGCTACAAGAACTTCTTCTGAAACCATTGTAGGTGAGTTGGCTCCTGACACAGAGTCTTGCACCACGTGCTCCAGATGTCCATCAGGACCCGTAACAAGGTCAGCCACAAAAACCTGATCGGGAACTCTAACAGTTTCTGTTATTAGATCAGTAGTCAAAACATGATCACTGGTATCTAATGCTTCTTCAATAGCAACATCAGCTTCCAAAACAGAATCAGGAACAATTACACCTTCTGTTACAACATCAGTTTCAGTGATGATGTCAGGTCCTTGGACAACTTCAGCTGCTAAGCCATGATCAAGAGTTATTCCATCATCAGTAACGACATCAGAAACTAGAACAGCTTCGGGAACTGATACAACAATATGGTCTCCATCAATATGAGCAGTGCCAGCCATTCCAGCCACTATGAAACAATTATGAATAAGGAGAAAAGTGTTAAAATTATTGCATTAGTAATTAGTTTATCTAAGGAATGGAATAATTGTATAGATAAGTTAAACACACGTACAAATCCGTTACTTTTCAACAATCCACATTTTGCGTTTCACTCGATAAAGACTATCCAAAGCAGCCTGTATTCTTTAAATTAAGAAAACATGCCACTTCTTTAAGACGTAACGGAGTTTGCTCCAGATCTAGTTTTTGCAATGCTGGTAAGTTAAAAACTACAGGTCAGTTTGCAATTTTATCTTTTTTTTAAATTCCGGTTAGAAAACGTTCGATTACAGTAGCAGTTTGAATCTTCACAGAATTCCTGCATGATACTGGAAGTGTGGCAACAATGCAATAATTGCTGCTACAATAGAAGGACTCTCATCCTTTAGACTGCATGGGCCTTGACAAAAGCAAATACTGAGTTGGATGCAATATTTATAGTACAATTTCCAACAACTTGACACATTGCAAGGGATGGCCAGAAGCAGAAACCTGCTTTTCATTTACAGACTTGACCAGCCAGTCATATTTGCAGACTACTTTTCTATACATAAAAAGAATGCACAGTGAATTATTTGAACACAGACATAAACAGCAGTTTTAATCTTAATGAATAAAACACTCAAGAAAGTGGTTCTTATCAGAATGAAAAAAAAAATTATTCAGCATTGTACTGCAAATGCAATTATTTTGGGACACTCTGAGGGATATTAATTAATGTTAGGACAAAGACATCGTCCTTCCCAATACTTGAGAAGGTCATCTCCTGTCGTAATGCAGAAATGGAGACCCACAAAAAGTGGAGATTTCTTGCTGTCCTTTCTCTGAACCTTCAAAATTGCTGAGGTTATTTAGTGCTGCCACCAAAAGAAACAGTATTCATTTTTAAAAAAAATCAATTTATAAACAAGTTTTCTTATATCAGTACAGTTCCAGAACTGATGCTCTTGACAGAAGACTTCTAAGCACGTGTGAACATGCAGATTTAGCTAAATCTGTAAATCGTGGTCTGCGCAGTAAGTTATCTGTTGTCACACAAAGACATTATTTCCCACCACATTTACTGAAACACCCTCAAGGAGAAGTGGAGACTGTAATCAAGGTAAGTGCACAAAGGCTCAGATGTTGTTTACAGCCTGAACTTGATGCTATTTACACGTATGTTGGAGATATAACAACAAGGCAACGTGATTTAAAGCTGAAGCACACATACCACAAAACCACTGAACTCTAGATAATGTTTTCTGCCTCAGCTAGAGCACTTTGGGCCACATGCTTTGCTTTTTTTTTTTGTTTCAGAATTACTTCAGTATTTTGGAATAAGCAACTATTTCAGGATCAGCAACTGAAGTATACACAGATATATTATACACCACTGTAAATTTCGAATTTTCTCAAAAAGTAATGCAAACAGCATTATTATATCAGTCAACTTTACATCTTGATATCATTTACAAATATATAGTACAAAACCTGAAAAACAGTCTTGATTTTATCCATTATTTTTAATAGTTAAAAAGTTTACCAAAATCCTGCATAATCATAGTGTGAGGCATTTTGGGTTCCTGTGTTTGCAATCCAAGACTTCCACCACCTGGATCCATATTCAGATAAGTTCATTCACAAATAACTGCAATAAAAGCAAAATCAGAATTTATGTTGAACAGCATTACTGTGTTGATTAGCTTTGCTGGATCAATGTGTCACACCAACATAAAAGTATTTATCCAAAACTCCAAGAAAAAAGCATGCAGTACTTCATACAATTCATCTTGCTTTATTCTTTTGGTTTTATATTTTTTTGACCCAAAATCCTGAAAATATTTCCATCCATACGTAGTCCTACAGTAATCAAAAGAATTACACACATGAGTGAAACCAAACAAGTCATTAACTCTTGCTCAGGATTTAAAAGGGTTTTTTTTATGTAGGTCTTTGGTTACTGCCTGGCCTAGAACAGTTCTGGTTCATACTCCGTAGAATTTAACTGGAAAGTGCCTTCTGGTGACCTTCAGCATGCAGACATACAGACTTTAACATTCCTTTATTTCTACGACCAGTAAGCACAAGAAATGCATAAAACTTCAATTTCCCCACTGCAAACTGAACATTAAAATATTTTAAGACTATCACCACAGCTCACTGCCAGACAGCAAAGATCTCACCAGCAAGGAGAATCAGGCCACAGTAACAAAACAACATCACCCCATATTAGTGACTAACTGAACCTAGTTACAGGCAACTTCTTACCCAGAAGCACAAACTTTGTCAAGAAGCCAACTAACTTTGCCTTAATCAAGCTGTAGCTAACTGTCTGTAGAAGCAAGAAGTACAAGCTGGGCGCCGCCAGCGCAGACGTGCTGTTACTGCTAACTATGGGCCTTACCACATCAACCTGTATCGGCAGCTATGCACAAAGAAGCCACCTTCGCTCCGTCCCTGTTTGTATACACTCCTTAACCGGTGATTATGGATGTGTGAGGCTGCACCGAAGAAAGCTGAGAATTGTACTGGGAGTATCAATTTTTCAGATTCTTTCACAATTTTGTGTCTATCAGGTACTTCAAAACAAATTTTAATGTGTAAATTTAATTGAACATTATGTTTAATTATAGGTAAGTTTTGAAAAAGCTGCATAGTGCCCTAAATTTACGAGAAAAGTGAAAGTAAAGGTGCCAAAGCTGATTTTCTTTTCCAACAGCTGTGTATGATCCCCTCTATATTATTAATGAAGTCTGACAAAAGGCCTGGTAGAAAATTTAATCAGCCCTCAGTTAGATTTGCATGCACAGTGCAGAACCTCCCATTGCAACAGGCAACAGCTCAGGGTAAGAAAGGCCAACTTATTTCAATGTCACCACTGCCACGACACTTACTGAAGAAACAACAGTGCTCAACAGGCTTCCATGCTGACACCTCCGTTTACCATCCCAGTGTTAGGACTGTATTACCCTTATTGGCTGACATTTTATTTAGAAACTGTCAGGTTATTCTAGAAATCTTATCTTCCAACACTGTCCCTTCTGTGCTGCTTGTTTCTGCTGCCAGGGAAAAGCTGGTTCTATGCAGCTATCTACAATACCCCTCTAATAAAACACTGATCCTTTAAAGCTTCTGATAGAACAGACCCACCAACTCTTTGTGAAGTCCCCATACTGCTATCCTTCACTGTTACATCTTTAGCTTGACTTTCTTTATTTTTTGTTTTTGACAATTACTTTGGCTCTTCTAATTCCCATTAACACTTAGGGGCTTCCGTTTCCCCAATTCCTCTTTTGTCAGACTTGCCTATTTTCCTCAATCTTTTAAAATGACACCAGTTCCTCAAACCTCGCCACACAGCCATACTAGTTTTACTCTGAGTTTTACTTCTGAGATTCTCGCATTCATTAAAATGCAATTCCAATTACATCCAAGAATTTTCACTTAATGGAGACTAAATGCTGAGCTTCTTGGTAAAATCGATTTTATTGAGATCTCCATTTCCAGTATCATATCTGTCTTGAGGATGCTGAATCTCTTTAATAACGTACAGCTACGCAAACTTGCTTTCAGAGAAAAGGAAAGCATGTCGCAATTCTTTGACAAGAGTGTTTCCATAAAATACAAGAGAGAAGGATAAATGAGCATTCCTCCATGTTATCTGCATTGCTACCAAGCACTGAAGCATGGGGATTCTGAATTACTTTGTGTTTCGCTGCAATGCAAAGACTTTCACAGAAGTGACTCTGTAGAAGCAGCTACAGGAGTATACAGAGAGCAAGGCTTTCAAAGGTGAAAAATCTCTAGCTTAAAAAACCCCTGTTGCACAAGACTAAAATCTTGTACTTTCTTGCTTTCTCATATCCAAGAACTGGAAATAAGTGACAGTATCACACAGAAAACAAAGAGGTGTAGGAGTTGTGGGAAGTGAACGCAGAGTAAGAGCTTAAGTCAGAACTACCTGGAACTGGGTGGTACAGAGATGAACAGGGAAGTACAAATGCTTTCAAAAGCAAGTCTCAAATAGATGGTACTTTTACTGTTGTAGTACCAACCTTGATTTTGCTCTTTTGGATCTTATAAAAAGCTGACCGCTACCCTTCCACAAGAATTTGTTTAGGTCTGCACATCTAAATCCAAAATATGATAGAAAATTCAAGTATTTTGGCGTACAACATATTTGAGAACCCTACTGCAATGAAATACACCTCAACAGAGTTAAGAACTAACAGTCGGGCAAGGCAAATAATAAAATAAGACAAGCTGTAAGAACAAAAGGCTTCAGTGCCTGAAATCTCTGAGATACCTTTAAGTCAGAATCAAGGGATCCAGAAAGAGCCAGGACCTAATGCAACTCACACTGTCATGCTAACCCAGAAGTAAACTAAACTCTGCACTAGACATGACATAAACTTCACTTAAAACATGAAGCTCTATCAGTAACAGACACTAGGGTCCATGGAAAAAGACCCTAAAAACTGAACAGATCAAATCATCTTAATGCCAGTTACTACATTTACTGCAACACTTGTGGCTCACCAGAACTGACAGCACTGGATCCTTGGTACCAAACCAAGTTGCCATCGAGAAGGGAGATGCTGGCACTTGGTCGGTGCCACAGGCCACGCCACATGGGGCTGACCTCCAGGATCAGGCGGTCTCTACTCTGCCAGGCACCGGGCTCGGTCTGTGCATGGAAACAGATGCTCCAGCTGTCATTCAAGCCAGGCAGAAAGCCACCAAGGTGAGATGATGTGAAAAGTCAATTTTGGTGCTACGTTGCTTTGCCTTCTTTTTTATGACTGTGTTAAATGCCTTCACTTCAGTGGGTGATGCAGAATTCCTGCTCTGTGCAGGCCAAGACACACATGCCAGGTGGGTACAATTTTGTCCTTGGGGTTTTTTTGTATGAAAAAAATACAAAACAGAGTAATAAATAATCTTAAAGAAAAAGAATGTGGAAAACACAATCCATGCTTACTGCATCTTCATGTCAAGGAAGGAACCGAGCAGAGATTATTCCTTCTTTTATACTCCTGAAATCCTCAAGCGAAGGAAGCAGCAAGCAGCCCGCAATGATGGCAATTTCAAGAAAAAGTCACCAATCCACCCCAAGGAGGTTTCAACTTAACTGAGAATACAAAAGAACCAAAGAACTGGTATCACCTAGTGTCACTATCATCCCTCCAACACTTCCTCCCCTTATTATTTGCTCAAACCTACTTCTCTCAAGTTGTCTTTAAATCTACAATACTAATTCTTGGGGATGTCAACGATCTAACCTTCTTGCAGAGCTACAAGAATTTCCCATGATGCCATAACAGAGTGAGTAAGTTCCACAGACCACCTAGTACTATAAAAACAGGCCAAATGTTATCAAGGAGGAAAGTAGCCAAGGATTTAACTAACCCAATTCCACCCATACAATCAAATTTCAATGTATTTTTAAGTTTTAGCTCCAAAATCAAATTCTTTCACCACAGTAAGAATTACAAAGTAGCTTCAGAACCTTAATGCAATGCTCTCTCAATCACTCCTAAACTACCATCACAGCCATCTGAAACTCTTACGGTAGCTAACTTGCTATTACAAAATAAGATACAGCTCTAGACCATACACGGCTAATTTAATATAGCAATTTCAGAATTAATGCAATACTCTACAATTTCCTGACCACAGCCTTTTATACTCAGATAAGCCTTCTTTTTTAATGTAAATGGATATGAAAAATTATCCTAAATTGTATCAAACTGAGATTACAGGAGGAATATGCTATGCTTTTCTTCTCAACAAGCAATTTACTTTATTTTCAGATTATATAATTAGATGCCCAAATACATTACATATTGTGTGACAGAAAATTCAATACAAAGTAAGACTATAATTTTAATTTAAATTAAAATTTCTGCAAGGAAAGCAAATTATCACTAAAAGGACTATTTCCCCAGTTGCTAATAGGACTATAAAAATGACCAAAGTTATGGGATGGCACCTTCCGTGTACGTAGCACTGCGAGTACCTTAAACTTCCACTAAACCCAGAGATGGATGATGACACACTAGCAGTAAGCATGCTGAAGCTGCACCTCGGTTGATGCAGCTGGTATACAACCATCACTGAAGTACACTCTAGAATAAACACTCAATGCTGACAAAGGACAGAGTTGCACCAACTATGTAATCACAGACAAATTTTTAAAAATCCACTTTCAAATCTTAAAGGAATGCCATGCCAGCAGGAAAACCCCTTCCTGCTAATGCTGGAACAATCACAAGAGATAAGGCCCACAATTCTGCCACGCAATTTCTGCTCATAGATTTCAGTAGTGCAGATGATTTAGTTTTACACACTACATATGTGTGCAAATCTGATTACTTGAAACAGCAAAAAACGTAGTACAGCTTCTTTCTCTAGTACACCATGTTATGTACACGCACAATCAGAAGAGAAGTGGTCCAATCATATGTTTTAAGAAAGGACGGAGAAATAAGGCAGAAAGGCACAATTCTGTATACTGCCATAATCCTTAATTTATCCATACCTGTCTTGCCTCTAACTATTAAGATCTCAAGTTTCTCCTCTCAATTACCCTTCTCCTCTGTATTTAGAAGAAAATACTGTG